CGCAGACTTGTGCGAGGATGAAGCGCACCAAACCCTCCTCCTGCACACGAGGTGCGCTGGCTCTCATGCGGCCGAGTGCTGGCACGCTTTGGAAAAGTGAAGGAAAAAATTGAAGAGTTTCTACACACTCGTAACCGCGCACTGTCAGAGCAAGTGACTGAGTCATTCTGGATTAAAACAGCATACCTGGCCGACATCTTCAGTCTCTACAATGAAACAAACAAGCGTCTGCAAGGCGTGGAGTCCAACATTCTCCAATGTAAAGAGGCGCTCGATGCATTTGTGCGCAAACTGGAGTACAGGGTCGGGAAAATGGAGAGGGGGAGCTGCAACAGTTTCCACTACTGCTGAAACAATCCCAAAACAATCCTGAAACGGTGCCTGTGTCTGTACGTCGCGAGTTCATCCGCCATATGAACGCACTGCAAACGGAAATGCAATCACGGTTCGCTGACAAAGACGAGTATGTCTCCAAGGAATTGTGGGTTTTAGATCCCTTTATTGCAAAAGTTGAGGATGTGGAATACCTGGATTGCGAAGATGAGCTCACCGACATCCAAGCTGACTCGCTGCCAAAGAAATACTTCCAGGAAAAAGGATTAAAAAAGTTTTGGATTGTCAAAGGACCAAGCCTCGCTCCAAAGCTCACACTGCATGCCACGACCAGGATTATACTCCCATTCAGTACGACATATCTATCAGAAACAGCCTTCAGCGCACTTGTTGCTATCAAAACAAAAGCACTGTAAGAATAAGTGAGAAATGGATTTAACTTCTGTAAGACAGCTATATGCCATACATTTTTGCATACATTCACAGTAAATATTTATTCAGTATGATAGCTGCCAAACAGAAGTTAAATCCATTTCTCACTTATTCTGACAATGTACTTAACCCCAAATAAAAGAACCCAATAAAAAGAGTTGTTAAATAATAGTGAAGTCACGTTGTAATAACAATAACTAATCTCTCTTGTTTTTTTTTGTTTTCTTTTTGTTTTTTGCCAAACGCCACTGTGTCAAGTGTCCTAGTTGGGTTGCCGTACGGAGTTGTCCAGTATGGCAGACCATCTCGCACATGCGCAGTACAGATCGGGCAGGGGGGCAGATCAGCAACAGCGATAATTAAAGTTTCAAAGTTTTGGGGGGTCGCAAATTCCAACAGGATTCATTTGGGGGGTCCCTGGGTGAAAAAGGTTGGGAACCCCTGCTTTAGGGGAGACCAAACAGTAAGTCTTTACAGTACTCTGAGTTCAATTTGAATTGTTGTAATTGAATGTGTCACAATGAATCTGAGCGTAACATTCCTGTCCACTCGTTTTTTTCTCATTTATTCAGGACAAGACATTCACCTGCACCCTGTTCATGCCCTTTGACGAGTTTGAGAAGATCACCACAGGAGATGAAGTCATGGAGTTTTTCCAGGAATACTTCGCGGACACCATACCACTGATAGGAGTGTAGGTGACTTCCTAACCTCCCCCTCTCTCTCTATCCATTGTCTCCCACAGCCTTGCTGTGACATGGGTTGGTTTTAATTTGATGTGAACCTCATGGTGTTGGTTAAAAGCTTTCTGTAACGCCTTTGCCAAGTTGTTTCAGCCATTTTGAGACACTTACAATGAAACAGGATTTTGAGGTAACTTGAGAGTACAATCTCCGAACTGCTCCAAATGTCTTGTCCCCGACTGAGGATTCTTACATTTCAATGTTGAGTCCTAATCATAGTGCCAACGTGCACGTCAATGCAGTGTCAACCAATTTCCCATTACCTTATGTTGTCGGTGACAGAGATAGGGAAAGTATTTCAAAGTGAGATGCCCAATTCAAATCCAGCCTAAAAGTCAGGACCTCTTTGCGAATACTTCAAGGCAGCAGTGGAAGTCTTGACAGGTTCAAAAAGAAGTCACTAGAGACAGCCAAGTGCTTTATTGTTAACGAAAGGCTTAAGCTGTATTAACATGATGCGTGATTTGCTCTTTGCTCACTGCAAGGTTATGCGTAGAGCCTTGTGGTAAAAAAACGGCCAGATACGTTTTGAGTTTTTAAGTTCTGATAGCTTGTGCCGCTTAGCACGGCTCTGATGTGATTGGTCAGCGTTAATCGAGGTAAAAGTTGGAATATTCGAAGTATGAGTGCCACATGACAATTTCGTATAGTGGTATCTTTTATTTGTCAGATGTCCCAACCCCTATCCATGAAGCACTTTTTTAATCTCCATCTTCATCTTTTATCATTTTGACAGCTTTTTGCTGAATCAGGGCCTTGCATCTGTGGTGAACCCACATTTGGCTCCATTTTAGCTGATGCTAGAACATTTAGAGCAACACTGCCTCCCCCCTCCTGGAGCCTTTTGTGCTACATGCTTTATCCTGCATCCTGTCCTCAGTTGTACGGGAATACAGTTCCCTATTTTTCTTTCCTGATTACTTTACCCCTTACATGTATTCTGTTTAGCCGGTAGAGCTTTATTATGTCCTCTTTATGGAGGTTCATATGTTTATTTTGGGGCCTCTACTGTGACATGTCCCCATGCTTCAAAGGTGTCCTATCATGCAAAATGCACTTTTTGATGTATTTTATACATAACTAGAGAATGCAATTCCTGAAGAAATTGCTAGTGGGAATGCTTTATGCTGAAAATCTGACGCTAAACTGTTGAAATGTAATGTGTAAGAAAAAAAGTGAATAATTTAGATTGAAATCATACATGAACACTGGGGGCTTGAATGTGTGAAAATAAAGTGAAAAGGCTTGGAAAAGCAGCAGAATATTTGAACCGCAAACTTCTGAACTAACTTGATGGCTAATGATCTGTCGCCATGGCAATGGCATTTGATGACACCCCATAATACGCTTAGATGCGTTGATGGCTGCATTGTTACCAAACATGTGAAGTTTTGGGCCGTTTGGAGCATTTGAACTGAAGTTGTGAGAAAACCGTGTTTCATGGCGGGCATTGTGTTGCCATGGCAACGGCAATTGAAGAAATCTTAAAACTGTCCCGTAGATGTCTTCACGGCTGGACTGTTAGCACACTTGTGAAGTTTGAGCACTTTTTGAACATTTGAATAGGAGTTATAGCGACATCATGTTTTATGGCGAGGGATGCGTTTCCATGGAAACGGCATATGGTGAGGTCTCAGATTTGGCGTAGAGCTGTTGAGGCATGGACCGGTGATATACAAGTGAAGATTGGGGGACGATTGGACCGTGTCCATTGGACTTATAGCGACATCATGTTTTATGGCGAGGGATGCGTTTCCATGGAAACGGCATATGGTGAGATCTCAGATTTGGTATAGAGCTGTTGAGGCATGGACCGGTGATATACAAGTGAAGATTGGGAGAAGATTGGAATGTGTCCATTGGACTTATAGCGACATCATGTTTAATGGCGAGGGATGCGTTTCCATGGAAACGGCATATGGTGAGATCTCAGATTTGGCGTAGAGCTGTTGAGGCATGGACCGGTGATATACAAATGAAGATTGGGGGACGATTGGACCGTGTCGATTGGATTATAGCGACATCATGTTTTATGGCGAGTTGTCCGTCGCCATGGCAACGGCATTTGATGACACCCCATACTACGCTTAGATTCATTGATGGCTGCATCGTTACCAAACCTGTGAAGTTCTAGGCTGTTTGGAGTATTTTCACTGAAGTTATGAGAAAACCGTGTTTCAAGGCGAGCATTGTGTTGCCATGGCAACGGCATTTGAAAAAATCTCAAAACTGTCTTAATTTGTTTCTATTATACACCATAAGGCGCAACAGTGGGGGCTTTTCACACCTATGAATACACATCACCCCCCTCCTATCGACGGATCTCACACCTACTTGGGATATCACACCTACTTGAGATCTCACACCTCGATCAAAGGGGAGGCGGGACTTAGCTCATTTGCATTATTTGGGGAGGTGTGACCTGTCACTTTTGTATGATCATTATTACTACTCCCCTGCCCTTTTTCGTCCTCCAGAGAAAGTGCCATTTTTATTTTTATTTTAAATAAATTAATATGTATCTACTGCTGTTTGCGCACACTTTCCAAAAATATGGTGTGTGGTGTGTGTGTAGACTCAGTAGGGTAGGTTAGCACCGTCTTTGGGAAACTAGAGACCAAATGTGTGTGTCCACAAACATGTTGTAAGGTTAGTGAGTGATGAGATGTAAAACCATATAGAAAATAAATTGCAGGAAAGTCGGGATAAAAGTGCGACGTCCTTGGTAAGTTTATAGATGTGATAAGTCCGGAAAGTCGTGTACTTACCCTTTGAAAATTGAAAAGAAGTTTTATACTTGCGCCTGAGAGAGAGAGTCGTGTGTGTGAGTGAAGTGAGTGAGTGAGTGAGTGAGTGAGTGTTTTGTGTGTGTGTGAGAAAGTTTAGATGTTCTGTCTGTGTACTGCTTTGTGCGTGAGAGTTTGTATCTGTGGGTGTGTGTAGAGTTTGTGTGTCTGTGTGGTCTGTGTGTGTGTGTGTGGGGTGTGGTGTGTCTGTTTTACGTGTGTGAGAGAAGCGTGTGTGAGAGGGAGAGAGTGTCTGAAGAGAGGGAGAGGTATCAAAAACCTTGCCCACCGTTTTACCAGGTTCTATAGATGTTGAGTTACGTAAATAATACCCTGCGTCACCGACGTCATACCAACAGAAACTAGAGACCTGGTTGTGTGTACCACCAATACTTAACCCACAATACTTCATCCACGAGTCCTTAGGTCTTGTTTGTTGACTGTCTGACCTGAAATTGGTCTGACAGAGTCGGATAATAAAAGACAGACCTACCTCTGAAGTATTGTCTGAAGTTGTCCAAGGTGTATAAAATATGTAGTAACCACTGCATACCAAAATCATCTTTTTCAAAACGTCAGTTTTTATAAGAACGACCGAAAGGGTTCGGAAAAATGAAATAAAAGGAGTAGAATTATGTTTAAGTAAGTGATGATGAAAGTAGACTATAAATTGAGGGAAGTCGGATAAAAGGTCGCGTCTTTGGTAATTTTGATATGTAATAAGTCGATAAAGTCCTGTAGTTCCGATATGCACAACAACAAATATGGAAAAAATTTGGAAAAAAAATTTAGTAAGTTCGAAAAAGACGTAAAAACATTCATTTTCTGTCGATGGTAGAGTCGATTTATTGTATAAGTCGGAAAAAAGAGTAAAAGTCGATTTAAGGGTCGGTATTTACAGTGTCAAAATTGGTGCGTAAAGCGGTGCGTAAAAGACGTCCTTTACGGTAAAAAAGATCAAAATAAACATANAAAACACTGTTCCACACATTTAAAAACACTTAATCAATGATTACCAGGGGTCCATGCACCTTCCCTGGCTTGTAAAATGTGGTGATGCGCCCTGGAGGTATCCTACTATTTAAAACATGTATACACTCATGTACACCCTTCATAGGGTTCCCTAACACAATGCACACAGCCTGGAGCAGCGACTCGGCCGTTTTCCCCCGCTTGTCCATTTGCCTATCAGTTTGTTAACGAAGTGGACGCAGCCACTGTTTTCCCCCTAAAAGTGATTTTTAATGCTTGCTTTTGCGTTTAAATGATGGGTGTTATCATTAACCAGGCCCCCCGACACAATGCACACGGTCTGGAGCTCGCTGGGGTCCCGCAAACACTTTAATCACACTTTTGTCCATTTGCCCATCAGTTTGTTAACGAAGTGGACGCAGCCACTGTTTTCCCCCTAAAAGTGATTTTTAATGCTGGCTTTTGCGTTTAAATGATGGGTACCATAATTAACCAGGCCCCCCGACACAATGCACACGGTCTGGAGCTCGCTGGGGTCCCGCAAACACTTTAATCACACTTTTGTCCATTTGCCCATCAGTTTGTTAACGAAGTGGACGCAGCCACTGTTTTCCCCCTAAAAGTGATTTTTAATGCTGGCTTTTGCGTTTAAATGATGGGTGTTATCATTAACCAGGCCCCCCGACACAATGCACATGGTCTGGAGCTCGCTGGGTTCCCGCAAACACTTTAATCACACTTTTGTCCATTTGCCCATCAGTTTGTTAACGAAGTGGACGCAGCCACTGTTTTCCCCCTGGTTACTTAAGATAAAGTTACCAGAAAGACAAAGAGGCACATAATACGCAAAGCGATTGACCACTAAACGTTGGTACCCAGGCTAAAGAAAGTGACGTGCCCTGTGCGCTGGTTCCCTCCTGAAACCCAAATGTGGACCAAGTGTTACCAGGTGGAGGCGTGGCTTAGCGCCCCCGACACGACTACCCAAGGCTTAGTAAACTAACAAAAAACAAAATAGCCAAGACGGTGCTCGAGTTTCCTGGCAAAACTCCTAGCTTTTTCACCCCTATTGCATGGAGGCGCGCGAGGTAAGGCGAAAGCGGAAGCGGCGTCGCGCCCTCGCTCCGGTAACTTGGGGAGCGGTGGACGGGGGCCTCCTCCGTCCCCTCAGTCCCATGGGCTCTCGCGGCCTA